ATTAACATTTTGCCTGCTCTTAATATGTTTGAAGAAATTCTTACTATTAATTTCTACATTTTTCTGCCAACCCTTTTTCATAACCTTTTTTTTTATTTCCTAATTTCCCATTTGATCAACTCTATTAAACTCCTATAGTCCTCCAAAAGAGCATTTAATTTTTTTACTTATATTTATACTGCTTTTCTTTAATTCTATCCTTTATACTTTTTATGAGCCAACCTGGTTTTTTACTTGTGGCCAAACTTTTTTTCTGTAAGGAACATGCCAATTTTGAGCATTTAAGAATTATTTTCTTTTTTTATTTGGTAGTATACTTAACATACACATGAACAAAGTCTACAAAAGATTTCACCAGCAATAATCAGTGAAGTATTTATGCAGAATAGGTAGTAAAACCTGTGAATAATAAAAGATCAATTAATCTAATTTTTAGATTACCTTGTGTTCAGTTGAACAAGATTGAGTTTTAATAGATTTTTTCACTTTTGCATACTGCTTTTTTAAAGAAAATTTCTGTTCTTAGTTAAAGACTGTCCATTTTTGTGTGTGTATGATTAAATATGATTAGGATATTTTTCTTTTTTTCCCCCTTTAAATATATGTTGTTTTCAATTAACGTTTTTCAGCATATCATATAATCCAGCAGAAAATGGCCTCCTGGTTTGTACTAGAACTACTAATATCGACAACAGCACGTATGACCTATATGCTATTCCCAAAGATTCAGATGCTCATAGCTCAGATGTTTCTGATTCCAAAAGGGCTTCAGGTTTAACAGCTATTTGGATTGCAAGGAACAGGTTTGCTGTGTTAGACAGAACCCATTCAGTGAGTTGAAGAAATATTTTTGGACATCTTGATTTTATGACTGAATTATGTTTATTTTGAGAGTACAGTCACATAAATATATTTTGAGACAATTGCCAAAATGTTTAATGTTGTTAATTGCATTACTTACAAGGTGTGATGAATATAACTCAAGAAGCATAATCTGAAATTACTGTATATGATCAACATAATGCTGTCAAGAGTTAAGATCTTAACTAGTAAACAGCTAGTATATCCTATCATATACATATTTTACATAATTAAAAAATTTTAGATAAATTGTATCTGTTATCTTAATTGGCTAAGTTAGTACTGAGTATATATTAGTTCTCTTTTCACTCCAGAATTCTCATTTAAAAAATAAATTCAGTTTCTGAAATGATACCTCACCTCTCACACAGAATAGCTTGATCCCTTACATACCTGCCTATCAGATTTACATTCCACTAGCCTTAAACTAACTCCCACGTAAAAATCACATTTGACATGAACTGGACTAGTGTCTGATGACATCATCATGCAACGATAGCCCTCCACCAATAGGGGGTGACACAACCTCCTTATGCAATAACTCCCCTTAAGCATTTGCACACAAAATAACATCATTGTTTTTCTTAGCATTGTCTATAATGAGAGTATTTTTAAAATTATTAATCAATTACATGAGATTTACAATACTTTAAGAAACTTAAATTTTTGTTTAACTTTTGCTGGTTTCTTTTATACCGAAATAATTTTTCTTTCTTCCTTACGCACTATACATTCTCATTTGATGGTAACTTCTGCTTTGTGCTGTGATAGGGATGATGTTCCTGACATGGAACCTGTGCAGGATATGACAGCCATTGTTTAACGTGTTATGCAGACTACCCTCCTCCTCCCACCCATTCAGTCAGTGTTCCTTTTTCTCTATTTGAACATGATCAGGATGATGACAATATTGACAGGATATCCTTCAAACAGGGTTTGCTAATTATGCAGACTACCCTCCTCCTCCCACCCATTCAGCCAGTGTTCCTTTTTCCCTATTTGAACATGATCAGGATGATGACAATATTGACAGGCTATCCTCCAAACAGGGTTTGCTCAAATCACAGCTATGTCTGTGGAAGAAAATCCTCATCCTTTTAATATTTTCTTTGACATGATTTTACAAGTATGTTCTTTTTTTACTTTTTCCTGTTTGCCTTTTGATTCATCCCATGCTTTATTACATGAAACTCAAACTCGACTACGTTGTCTTCCTTTATTCACCTGACTATTAGGGTCCTTGCAGATACGTTTTTCAAACACCTGCACTCCTGTACAAACATGCCTGATCTTCCTCACCAACTTGAATCTTTTGTCCTGGCTAACAGCTTTCTTTATTTCTGTTCCTTGTTTCCTGTCTTTGGAATCTCTTTTCCCTGTTTGGAAAGTGGATTCCTTAACTTTTATATCCTTTCTAATTCCCAATTTTGGTGCCTTTGTCTCTTTCTTACCACTCTCCTATGTTACCTCTTGTCGCTTCACCTTATGTCTGAGGCATTTCATGCTCAGGGGGGGTTTTCTGGAGAGGTTTGTTCTCTTCTTTTCACCACATTGGCTCATACTTCTTCTTCTGTTCTATTTATCCCTTCTTGATTTCGCTGCTGTTGGACAGGATGCTATCCTAGCTAACATGTGCCACCCTCACACTAATCTCCATGGTCCTTGTTGGGTTCCATTTCTTCACCCTGAGGTCTTCAGGAGTGTTCCTGACTCACTGGAGACCTTGTCTGGGGCAGTCCTCATTGTTTACTGTGTTTTCTTGTCTTTTTCAACCTCACCATTCTGTTCCTAGGCCTGCTGAATCCATGTTTCACCTTCCCATTTCATCATCATGGCCCTCTTCTACTTTCCATTTCCCAATATTAGGGTTGTCTCCTCAATGACTACCCTATTGCATTTTGCCTTGCAGGGGCTGTCTGCCTCTTTTGTCTGACAGATGGGTTCTTTAGGTTCTCACCCACAGCTTGTCTCTCCACTTCTCTTCACTTCCTCCTCCTTCTGTTACCCTTTATTTTCAGTGTTTCAAGGATGTAGTCTCTGATCTCTTGGCCAAGAATGCCATCAAGAGGGTATATATCTCCTACACCTGGTTATTACCCTTATCTTTATGTAGTCTCCAAGAAATCTGGAGTCTGACATCTGGTTATTGACGTATTGGTTCTCATCCAGTTTTTTATTATCCCTTGATTCCATATGAAGGGTTTTCATACACATTCCTTACATCCTGCCATTCAGACATTTTCTTTGTTTTGTTCATCAGGATTGGGTCTTCCAGCACTGTGCTCTTCTTTTTAGCATAGTGTCTGCTCTGTATGACTTTATCTGAGTCGTGGGGATGTTTGCTCATCTTGTTCATGGATTGGGGCTGAGGTTCCATTATTATATGATGATTGGCTTCTCTTTGCCCCCTTCTCGTAAGGACACCTCTCACGCCTTCCTTCTTCTGCAGGATGCTGCTCAGCTGGGCTAGTTTGTCAAGCTTTTTAAGTTTTTTTTTCATGTTCGCCCTATATCCCTTTCAAAATGGGTGGATGCGAATTACATCTGAGGATATACGTGCAATAATACATATGATAATTCTGCGTTTTCTTTACGTATTCTCACAAAAACTGGTAAGACTTTATTAAATATTATAAGTGTTTTCTACACAAGGAATGACATTGTTTTAGATAATTCTTTCTACTCAAAATATTGTATTTATCTATTGTAGTTACTTACACTGAAGTGCAAGGTGAATTTGATTTTAAATATAAAAATACTTTTCTTCATCTTACAGGTTTCAAATTTCATGTGCATAACCTCTAGAATATTTTAAATATCAAAAGTTTTTTAAGGTAAATGTTTATATTTTATTTTCCATTTTCTGTACCATATCACTAACTCTGGCTATTATCATCAACATACAATGCAATGAAATGTTTAAAATTTTTAAATAAAAATATGTACATACCTTTTAATAATCTAATAATCTAAAAATATTTTATTTGGATCACATATGTAATTTTACATCTTTATCTTTTCACTTAGAGTTTATTCTTAATGTTTTATTTTTCTTTCCTGTTCTTTTCTGTTAATTATTAATGCTGACATACGTCAACAGGTGTCCATGAATAATAGACCAGTATGATTGGCAGAGATACTTTAGCCTCATGCAAAATCTTTTTTTCTCTACTCACGTAATAATATAACAAATGAGGAATGAGATGAAGCTTTGGTTATTTTATAAAATTTTTTAAAACCTTTCAGATATAAATTTTAAAACACAAATGATGCATAATTAATTAAGATATGAAAGTAAAACCTAGAAACAATTTAACTAGCTCTCTAACTATAATAAATTTAGGTAAGAAACAGCTGAAGTGCTATCGTGAACAAAGCAGGCAACAACAGTACAAGCAGTTACATCTTCTCTATGATGACAACATTATGCAAATTTCAAAATAACCATTGTTAGATTATAGTGAAAAATGAGCTCTTTCTAATGATTATATACATGTGTAGTTTGTAAACCTCAAACTAAAGTACAGATGGTGGGTGTGGCACCCATCAGAGGTTGGCAAAATTTATTATTTGTTGCTACGGGATCCAACAAAATAACTTTGAATTATTAGTGTCAGTAGGGCAAGTAAATGCACTTACTGTCTAGATATAAATGTACAAGCTGTGGTTTATTCCATTCAATACAGAGGCTGTGAAAGGTGAGATTTTTCATAACTTGGGAGTTGTGTGACAAGAAAACTGGAAATTAAGTGTTTTTTATTTAAAGGTTTCTTTTGAAATAAAGGAATTAAAATTATAACATACATTATAATGTTAATTTCTGTGACATTGATGTTAAAGTTTTTAAATAAATTTTAATGTATTTCTGTGATTTGCACAGAAAGTAGTTCAAAGGTGTGCCTGTAGTGAAAGGGATATTTGGTACATCTGATACATCAATTCCCATCTCAGTCAGGCTTATTCTTCTCCACTTCACTTATGATTGATGGAATGTCTTGTCACCAAGGTTTATGCTTCTCTTTTACACCCTGCACATGAGGTTCTTTTGCTTTGGGGAACTCTGACTTCTCTTAAACCCCTCATTCATTCAACCCACCCCCACATGTCCCTTTTCCAGTTGAAATTATGGAACCAATTCTTGGGATCTGTTGGTGTCCTTGAGTATGCACATCCCTTCTCCTCTTCTTGAGGATTTGTATTGGTGGATCGATAGTACCAACACCATGATGGGCATCTCCTTGCTGGTCCTCAACCTCATCTCCATTTCTTCACAGATTCCTCTTTGTTGACCTGGGGGGGGGATCTCTGAAAGACTATATGACTTTTGGCATTTGGGCTTTGGAGGAGCATTTACTGCATGTCCACATCAGTTCTTGCTGTCTGTTGGGCATTTCCTTCAGGTCCCATGTTAGGAATATCATCACTACCATAGGATGAAGAGGAAGTTACTGAGAATGCATAATGGTTAAGCATGAAAAAAAATTATTATTCCATTTTTCTTCAGGTATAAAAGAAACCAGTGAAACTTGAACAAAGTTTGAGTTGCTTAAACTAACACAGATCTCATTCTCATGTAATTGGTTAATAATCTTAAAAAAACATGTCCAGTTTAGACAATGCCAAGAAAAAGAATAAAGTTATTTCAAGCACAAGTGCTTAAGGGGAGTTACTGCACAAAGAGGTTTGTTTCACCCTCCTATTAGTGTAGGGCTATCGTCGTATGAGGATGTCACCATGTACTAGCTCAATTAAATTCATGTTAAACACGTGATTCCTAAGTGGGAGTTAGTTTAAGGCTAATGACCTACATACCTCATAGGGAGATGCACGAGGGATCAAGCTATCTGTGTGAAGAGGAAATATATTTTCAGGTATGGAAAATCTTCATGTTTGAAATATGTTTGTGGTGTTTTTTGATGTATATCATAGTACATGAGTTACATTTTAAGTTTTTAAACCAAGAAATTAATTGCAGTGGTTTTTTTATTTAAAAGAAAAAGGCCTAATATTGCAAATTTAGAATAAAGTTTTTTTTTCTTTGGACTTCTCAAGTTTTTACAACTATCATAATTTGTATTTATTAAGTTTCATCTATTAAGTTTATTTATTGTTGTTGTTGTTGCAATAAAACAGCACTGAAAATACTTCTGGTTGACAATTGATTTAATAAATCATTATACTATATTTGAAACTTTCATTTCTTTTTTTTGGTAATAATTATCTTAGGCTGTATTGAATGGGCAATGAAGAAAAATTTTAATATAAGTTTAACATAACAGCAAATGTACCTGATGATGACAAAACCTTGTTGAAACGTTGTACATTTGCTGTTATGTTAAACTTATCTTAAAGTTTTTCTTCCTTACCCATTCAAGCCGTCTCCAACCATTATTAGTCTCAAAGTGGGTTCCTCGACATCGAATTAGGCTGTATTGTTAATGTACACCTACCATTCATTAGAAGGATTTTCTTCATATGAAAAAGAAAAGGTTTAGTCAAGTAATTTAGCTGCTATATTTTACTACTAAAACTGGTGTTGCCCCAGTGTCAGATATATTAGGCTTTAATTATTTTAATGTCAAGTATTAAGTGATTTATATCATATTTGCTAGATAAAATCAAACTTTTGAAATATGTTAATTGTAAATTTTTGCTCTGTCTTTTATGTAATAAATGCAATCAATATAATACTCTGACTTTATTGCAATATGAAATTTTTATTTTTCGGAACAACAAACACATTTTCCTGTAAGAAATAAAATGAAACAAAATATAATATTGCTATCTCTTTAATAAATTTTCTATTGCTTTAATGATTATGAAAACTTAATATTTCAGTAATGGCTGGAGACGGCTTGAATGTGTAATGAAGAAAACTTTAATATAAGTTTAACATAACAGCAAATGTACAACGTTTCGACAAGGTTTTGTCATCATTTGTCAAAACATTGTACATTTGCTGTTATGTTAAACTTATATTAAAGTTTTTCTTCATTACCCATTCAAGCCGTCTCCAGCCATTATTAGTCTCAAAGTGGGTTCCTCGTCATCGAATTTAATATTTCAGTGTATGTCAATTTTATGACTTAGCCTTAAGTTTTAAAGTATTGTTTCACACACACACGCACAACACAAACATTTAAAAACCATCACCTAGAGATAAAATTGTGTAAATCTAATATATACATACATTATGGAATGGATTATTTTACAAATTACTATCTTACATATTTTTTTTACAACTTTATTTTTGTTTTAATGTATTAGAGGCCAAGTATGAACTAATGGCTAGTGTATCAGGCTATACAGCAGAATGTTCTGAGGGTAAAGCCATGACATTACTGAACAAGTCTTGCAGTTTAAATTGTAGGCATATTATATAAGTGACAGTCAGTTCTGTTAGTTGGTTTCAAGAGCTAGTCGAAGTTCTTGTGGTGGCTTTCTTATTCTCAGTTATTCATTTGTCTTTAGGTAGTGGTGAAAAACATGAAAAATGAAGTCACAAAAAAACTTCAAGGCCCAAGCTGTGATGAAATTTTTTATGCTGGAACAGGTATGCTGCTCATGCGAGATCCTGATGGTCTGGTGCTATATGATGTTCAACAGGGCAGGTAACAAAACAGTCACAACTGTACAAATAATAATTTGGTGTAATTGTAAGATGTCTATAAGATTTTGACCTTATTGCAAATATAGAATTTAGGCTAATATGCTGGTCGTAAGTCAACTTCCAAGAATGCATCAATCATATATCAATAAATGTACTTAGAAACTAAATTTCAAGCCATCTTTCATTTTTAAAGATTTTTCCCTATAAGTTTGGAGAAACTAAAAAGAACTATCAGCAGTGATGTTTTATGGAACTAGAATTCCGATGCAATATCTTACTTCCTCTCACAAAGTAGCTTTTCTCGATTAGTACTGCCCTCTGTTGACTCAAATTTTCAATGCTCGCCACTAGCCTTCCACCTCCTGCTTCTGCATATCCAGGTGCAAATGATCATGAAGCAGCCCTCCACCAACAGGAGCGAGATACAACCCTTATCGTAACCAGCGCCCTCTTCACATTTGCATTCGTTAATCATTCTTGATTAGTAGTAGTACTGTAGAGACGTGATGGTATTTGCTCACAGATTTCTTGACGTTTTTCCTTTCTACTACAGACTTTGATTTTCTTTACTGTTTATATAAAATTTTCACATTTTGGAATTGTGAAATGCTGCTTTTTCAACTTCTTACTTTTTCAGGTACCTTTTTGGCTAGTGTATTGTGGTTCCCACTTTGTGGCAAATGGTGCCTGACCATGTATACTTTTTTTAAACATCTGCACTGTCAATCCCGTGACAATACTCAATGTCAATTAAATAGTAGCCCTTCCAACCATGGACTTGATGTATACTTCCAGATGCTGCCAGGTGTTGGTTGTATGTTTCCATTCTATCGTGATCTATGCCTAAATAATTGCATCGCAGGATTGGGTTATGCACACCGTACAGATGGGGTGTTTCGTAGGACTGCTAGTAGTTCTCTCTCAAGTGATTTTTTGCTTCATAAATATGTCTGTCCCGGACCATACACTCATGGACTAAAATGAGTAAAGCAGACAGAGATTGCTGCCCACCAAAAATATATTTCCTATAGATACTTATCTCCTCTCACATTTCACACCCATTCTCCCCACTTCCGGTGATATATAAGATTGGTCTTCTGACCAATCTTGAAGTGAATAATGAGTGCAAATGTGAAGAGGGTAATGGTTATGATAGGGGTTGTGTTGCACTTCTGTTGGTGTAGGGCCGCTTCATGATAATTTGCATGTGGATATGCAGAAGTGGGAGATGGAAGGCTAATGGCAAGTATTAAAAATTTTAGCCAATAGAGGGCAGTACTAATCGAGAAAAGCTATTTTGTGAGAGGAGGTATCTATTGAAAACATATTTTCAGTGTAGGAAAATGCTAAGTTTCATATTATTAAAGGTTGAATCTCTTCCTCTCTTGAAGAACTTGGATATATTTGTGTAAAATGAAGGTTTCCCGTAGAGTGTTACACAATCATATTGCAGCCACAGTAAGATTAGTATGGTAATACGGCTTGATGTTTGAGGTAACTTGAGATTTCTGGGTTCCAACTCTTTGTTCAGGACATTTTACCAAAGACTGTTGAAAATTATTGTTGTACTTGTTTATTTAGTAATTGAAGAATGAGGG